CCAGCGACAGGACAGGACGGCGTTACGTTTCTTTGATTGACGACTTGTTTATTTTGTGGAAATTCATGTTCACTGAGGATACATTACAAAAACACACTTTTGTCTATCCAAAAACAATGATAAACTCGACTTTAACATTTTCCGGAGAAACACATTCACAGATTGCACAATACCTTTTCACTCCTTTAACCCGATTTTATAGAAATTGTCTGCATTCAGGTCAATGATACATAGGGGTTTCACAATACCCTTTTCTGAACAAAACCTCCGAAGTGAAATCGCAATCATTAAACAAATAGCAGTTAATAACAAAATTCCTACCACTCTAGTTAACAACATTATAATGAAATATCAACAAAAAACAATAATGAAAGAACTATATTCAATTTCCACAAGACCAGAACACAAATATGTTAGTATCATTTATGCCGGTAGAATCTCCGAGAATATTAAAAATTATCTCTCAAAATTCAATCTACAAACATCCTTCACATCCAACGGAAATTTAGGAAATAGATTATTTAATGCCAAACCTAAATTAGACAAAGGGAAGAGATCTGGTATATATCGACTAGAATGTGGTGAATGCCCCGCCATATATACAGGCCAAACTGGTAGAAATTTTGATACAAGGTACCATGAACATGTCATTTCGGATAAAAAATCATTAATGAACGAACATCTTCAAAATTCGATACATAAAATAGATAAAGATAATTTAAAGATCCTTCACACATGCGAGAAAGCGAAAATGATGAATCTGTTGGAATCTATGGAAATAAACAAGTCAAAGAAAAATCCCAATTCTATTGTCCTCAACGAACAACTTGATCTGAATAATAGTCCTCTCCTGAATCTATAATCCAGTTCCCAAAACCTACATTGTATCAAAAGCTTTGTTTTGTTATGTTCATGAATATTACAGGTATACAAAATGTAGGTACCAAATTATTTATGATAGGATAGGCAACTTAGGTATAAATTACTCAGATTTGAATGTAATCAGTTAGTTTTGAAAATGGTGTAATAGCCGAAACTACTCAACAATAAAGAAATATCGTGGAAAATAGACAAAAATGTGTTTTCGTAGTGTGGACGGCGTTACGTGCCGAACAGCTTATGCCACATTGGATATCCTGTACGAGCGATTTGTTAGACTTTTTTTTGTGGAGTTTTCTTGAGTCGAAGATATATGCAAATAAGCTCCAAACCACAACGGTCCTCAAAGCCAACATAACCCATGCTTTCGGTCAAATTCAGCCTGATTCATGCGCCAGAATCATGAAAAATTGGACGTTTCGAATGCATTCCACCCAGAGAAGCCGTGGTGGACATTTGTACGATGTTATAGACACATAATTGCATCAATAGGGCTTTCAAACGAAAAAAAATAATTGATGATATGTCACACAAACTTTGTTTTACTTAAATTTAAAGATAGGAAGATAGAAAGGAATGAAAGACCCTTTATATTTGGGGATCAGTGTTTCAGAACATTGGTTTACTCATCTCAATAAGTGTGACAAACATCAGCAAAACTATTTGTTCGTCTGAGGGATTGTTAATTGTCCGTAAACGTAAAAAATATAAATTGTGAATTTACCCAAAATGAGATGATATCATTTTTTCAAACCACAGTGCTTATATTCAGGTACACTTTTTGAACTACTATCGAGTTAGTTAGACTATGTGACCCTTTGCCTATTTTTTTCCATGCTATCACCAACGTTCCGATAAATTAACCCGAATTAGTCGTTCTGCTCGATGTACATATCGATTTTATACCGTAACGAATCATATTTTATTAAAGCCATGAAAAGCAAACCTTCAGAGATAAAATAAAATTTACGAGACGGGTAAATGGAGTGGTTTAAAACGAATGAATGACACCTCGACGATTTCAGCCTTTTTTACCATTAAAACTTTGGCTGGAATTGTGAAGTGATCAATTACCCCAGATTACAAGCTAGCTAGAGGACTTCAATAATAGCGTCCAATAAAATCGATCTGCAGACTGATATTGAATGTCGGCCTTTGGCAATAAGCGACAAACTTTTATTCTCTAGTTTCATAACACGTGACAAGAGTTAGGTGGAGTTATCGATTGATTCAGTTTCGTTGCAGGGCGGTCATTAACACTGAATTGAAACACCAATTAAAGCATCCAGAGATCAAGGATTTTCATGAAAGGTAGCAGTGAAACGTAGCGTAGAATAAATCCACAACAAGCATTGTTCTCAACCACCAGAACTGCAACACTCTTCTCGATGCTTCACTAACCAAGTTGGCGGTTTCAGGATATGAAGTTTACTAATTCCGTACACTTAAACAGGTCTTTATTGACAAAATGGTTGCGAGTTTCGCTGCCGAAGTTTCAGTGTCACTATTTTTCGGGTTTGAAGGCCGTCGATTTTCCGTAGATTTTTGAAATTTTTTCCTGACGTTTCGCTGCCGCGAGTGGTTAGCTTCTTCAGAGGTTTATGTTCTATATTTATCTCCGATGACTCAATATTATGGCTGCGTAAAGCGTATTTATGTTGACTCATGAAGTTTGGTGTGCTAATACATGTACCCGGATTAGGTAAATTGCGTAGGCGTATCTATGTTGACTCAGGTGATCTGGTGTGATAATACCTGTATCTGGATTAGGTTGTCAATAACATTCGTCGACCCTTTTCTACCTAGCGTCAAGCAGTTTGCTATTCTTGAATTTCTTATAATGGGATTCCATATTCGGTTGAGGTTCATAGATTCTTCTCTGCTGTTGAATTTATCCGTGTGATTGTGCATCTCTATTGCCTCCCGTACCAGTTGTATATGGTATCCCTGGTTGGGGGCAATGAGTTTCGTATTTACAAACAGAATCCTGTGATTTCCTCCACTGAGTGCATTTTTCACTACAGCAGACTAGTCCGTTTGGCCCACTCTGCAGTTTTTTTCATGCTCCTTCCTTGTTCCCATGGATCTTTTGGTGGTTCCGATGTATATCTAGCCACAAGTGCACGGTATGCGATAATGCTGCTGATAGTGGGTCTCTTTTGTCGTTAGGCGACCTGTGGCTTTGTTGTATCTTCTTGATGAGTTTGAAAACCGTTTTAATGTTGTATTTTCTCAAGAGTTTTCCAACTATGTCTGTAACCCTAGGGATAAATGGTAGATACGCGCGTGCAACCATCTGAGCCTCCTTCCCGTTTTGAACTGTGGAGCTCTTCAGTTTCATGGCTTTGTTGATTTCATGTACACTGTATCCATTCGATCTCAAGGTCACTTCAAGATGTTCCAGTTCTCTAGATGTTCACATATTCTCCGAGCCCGTTCGGTTAGAGTAGAGATGCCTGGGTGCGTGGTACATTTAGGAATGCTATCCGCTTGTCCTATTTAGTCTCCATGGTGAACTCGAGGCTGAGTGTTTCTGTTCTAGAATTAATTTTCATTTCATCAGGAGAAAAATAGTAAGAGCCGGGACTAAAGATCGAAATCTGCATGTGTCCAAACAGATTTTTTGGTTTCATCTCAGCTGTATGGTGAATTCTGAAAGCACTGATTGCTCCTTCTTCCATTACACATATTTGTATTGAGTGCTTTCAGTTTCTACAACTTGATCTGAAGTGATGGTTGATTCTTTTTTTACTACCATACCCAAAGAGGCATATGTAACAGTAGGTTTGACCCAGCATTTGGTGAAGGCAGTTGATCATTTTTGGTTTCGAACCCCACGCCTTTTCGAATAGTATGTCCAAATTATATCTATAGCTTTGGAAATAGTCATAAGCACTATTATAAAAACTCAATTGCACTGGCAATGGCAACTAATTCGAGACATTCTTATGATTAGTACAAGTCCCTGTTATCTAATTTAGTCATGACTCTTATAGTATAAATAATCTGGTCACAATCATACTTATTCTCCAATTAACCATAAATAATATATAGATAGTAATCCCAAGAAGTTTGCAATGTTTACCTATTGTATAGTTGTTATTACTTGAAATGATCAATTTTTGAGTCTTATGGCCATTTAATTGCATGAAGTTGGCGGTAAACCAATTTTTCACATTGTGAATGGATTCATCAGCCATTTTCAAAAGAGTAGGTAAATTTAAGAGGTGTTGATGAAAGAAGTATCGTCAGCAGAGATAATAGTGGAAGTATTAATAGTAGTATGCTGACAGATGTCATTTATATATATGTTAAACAATAACGGTCCAAGTATCGAGCTTTGGGGAACTCCACATTTGGTGGTTCGAAGATCAGAAATATTTTTACATATTTTTACTGATTATTGTCTGTTTGTTAGATAGGATGATATTTCGTTGTGAGGCATGCAATTGTTATCTATTATCAATTCAATCTTGAACTGAAACAAGGATGAATGCACTAACCTATAATTTAAATATTCCCCTACTATATACATTGCGGACGTAAATTCTTTCTTAACTTAACATGGTCGGACAAAAATTTTGTAAATAAAAGTCACTACAGGTATACTTCATATTTATAAAAAAGCCAATTATCATCATAGAAAGCTAAACATTTTTTCCTAAAAACTTTTTGGATAATTACTCTGGCAGTTTACTATAAAAAACAGCGAGTTCCTCCAGACATTCCCTACCTTCTGTATTTTATTTAATTTTGATTCAGACTTTTTTTTTCGAGTGGTATTGCTTCACTCATTTGAAAATTATTCAGTAATGTTAATCTCTATTAACTTGAAATACAGATAAATGAAAAATGAGTTGAACTGTCGGTTTGCAGACAATTTTGAATGACATATCTGTGAATTCCAATTTTAGTACATTCTGAGCGATACCCCCTTAATTTTCAGTTGGCTATAAAACTACATTTACTCGTATTATGTGAATGTTCAGAGATTCATTCAGAACTACAGAAATATTCTTTCATCACCTCGAAGCTACAATATTTCTTCATCAAGTTCCCTTTCTGTTGTGGATATAGTCTCTAATATCGGCGTCTAAGATATTGACGTTCTTGACTTGCAGAACCGAAAGTTAATGCCTAAGTTCGTGTTGAAAGAAATGGAGTCCCTTTACATAGAAGAACTCAAATCATCAATAAACTTATTAATGGCGAATTTGGAGTCGCTGCCAGTTTCGAAAGGATCCATGGATTCCAAATATGGCTTACAAAAACTAAAACGCTATAATCACAGGTTGCATAACCATAATAATCCGTATAATGTGAAGCACATATTGATGAATTATGTTACTTCTTTTAGATCGCAAGGATCTTTAGCGAAACTAGAAGGAGACTCTGCGGATAGCGACACTCAACTCACTAAACTTGATGTAGTTTTGACATTCCAACTGGAGGTAAGAAAATCTGTGATTTCACTGCATATGACTGGGTAGAAATATCACGATCTTGAATATTAGTAACTCAATACAGAACCTTACTAAAAACTGAGTAATCAAAAAATAGCTGCTATTCGTGAAGTCATTGGTTTAGTTGATGTGAACAAAGAGATATAATCAAAATATATTGGAGCTCGGCGCCCAACGTCGGAACTAAGCAATTTTCAATTTTTGAGATTTTGTCCTTGAAAGTTTTTCAGAAAAGTACTGAGTTATTGATTCAGGACGTGATCTGTGGTAAAATTTCTTCCCAGTTGAAATTATTTTTCAACAACAAAATTGGTATTCACCAACTAATCATTCTATTCACATTACAATTCTACGGAAACATGTTTGTATTTGCATGGATTTATATATATGTTCCATACCTACACTATTTTCTGAAACACAGTGGCAGGTACAAATTGGTACCTTACCAATAAAGTGCCAAGTATTATGCCTTCGCCTCTTTTACTTTCCCACTTTGCACAATAAATTGCAGCTCCATATCAAATGGGGAGTGTTTCAATTGATGTTATATATCGAATATTTCTGCCTGCTATTTCGCCTGCCCTTTATCGGTTAAGTACATAAAACCAATTCGATTTCTTCACTTGTGCGATGAAAAGGGTGAAATGAATGGATTCAATTTGGATGACGGACTGGTGTTAGTTGAAAATTTTGTTTATTTTTTGGTATTCAATATGAAAAAGTAAACAACGCTCTTCGAAGCCGACAATTACATGTTCATCAAAAGAGTAAATTGAACTAATTCTGGTTTTATTGCATCGTCAATTGCGTTATTTCGATATAATTGATCCAATTTTCACAAGTGAGCAACTGTTTGAGAAACACCAACAGAATATGTGATGAATTTTATTCACAATTCAGTAGCCAAATATTTACAGGCGGAATTTGCTATTTCAACAAAAACTCCAATAATGTACATGGATTATAGATATAGATAGATATATTTATACACACTCTCGGACAAAATATTGCTTATTTTATCTCAAGATGTATTTTTATGTTAATTTCTTTTTCCGTAACACGTTATTCATTTTTATTGATAAATGTTCAAAGTCCAAAGTATTTTACGTAAATTTCCATTCAGTATAGATGAAACTATGCTTGGACATAGTCGCTATAGCTGAATAAGTAAAATAATGGTACAAATTACAAACATTGAATAGTGTGCCTTTGCCACTATTAATGTCTATTGTTTTGTTTATTGATGTCAAAATGACATTTCAAGTACTTTATTTCTTAACGCCTACCGGTGATCGACGCCGATCACCGGTATCTGTATCTGTAGAGTAGGGAGGGTGAGTGTAAGCCCACGCACTTAGGCCACATGTGACCCATTGTACATCCTCCCGAGGAGTTGTCCTCCTAGGTCGTCGTCCATCCTGTCCTTTCCAGGAAGGTGGACAGGTCGCTGGGAGACATCTCCTTTATATCGGCAGGTGTAGGCCAAGACTCGCCGAACACACACTCTCTTATTGACGATAACTCCGGGCACTCG